CGCAGCGCCCCCTCCGCCTGGGCCCGGGATGGCGCCGAGTCCTCCGAGCGGAGACCTGGCCTCCGCGTGCCGTCGCTCCTTTCTGGCCGGCTGCAGGACCCTCACGAGGCCCTGCCGCTTCCCTAGCCGCCCTTTTCCTTTTGCAAACGAAGGAGACAGCAGATGCGCCCCTGAGGGCTCTTTTTTCAATTAAACCATTTGTTGAGCATTCACTGAGTTCCAGGCCCCGTGTCAAGTGCTGAGATTTGGGTGGTGGACTTCATGATCTATCTACCTGTGGCAATCAGTCACGCCCTGGTCCAGCTCCCGCATCTCTGAGGAGTGACTGGAGGGGAAGGTTGCAGGACAAGAGGGTGGGGAAGTTTAGCCTGCTTTGAAAGCCTTTTAAACGACTGCTTTGATGCTCAAAGTACCCTACGGGTAGGACAGAGGGACAAACCCTCTGGCCTCCCTTGTCAGCACTGGGTCTTGGGCAGTTCTGAATTTCACTCAGACCTACCGTTTCCTTATTGTTACGCTATGGAGTCCATCGCAACTCATAGTGACCGTATGTACAACAGATCCGTACTCTGCCGGATCCTGGACCATCCTTGCAATGTCTGCTGGGCTTAAATTCAATCTCTGCTGTATTTATATTTCAGTCACTATGTAAATACATCTTCTCACTGAGGGTCTTCCTCTCCTTTATTTGATCCTTCACCTTTCCAAGCATGGTGTCGTTTTTCAGAACTGGCCCCTCCTTACAATATGCCCTAAGTCTGTGAGACAAAGTTTCACCATCCTTGCCTCCAAGAAGCACCTTGGCTGCACTTCAAGACGGATTTATTTGTTCTTTTAGAAGTCTATGGTACATTTAAGTAGTCTTTGCCAACTGCATAATTCAAAGGCATCAGTTCTTCAGCCTAACACATTGTCCAACTTTAACATGCACATGAAGCAACTGAAAATAGCATGGCTTGGATCAGGTGCACATTAGTGCTCTTGAGCATTTAAAAAGATCATTTCCAGCAGAATTATCCAATGCAAATAGTTTTGGATAAAGTAAAATGGAATAATTGACAACTTCAGTCTTTTCACCACTTATTTCCTTTTTTTTTTTATTATTTTGTGTGCGTGTACCGTCAAATCAGATCTGACTGGTACAGGAGGATATTGCGCCTCCTTCTCCGGCAGAGCATCTGGTGGATTCGAACCGTGTTCCTCTGGGATTGCAGTGCAACTTCTTGCCACTAGGCCACCAGAGCTCCCCATTTCC